ATATCATCCCACCCATAAAGATACTGTAGATAAGTAAACATCTCTTCTGTGTTCAGTTGTGTCAAAGGCTCCATGATGATGTGATGAAATTAAAATTGCCTGACCATAGCCAAATGATTAAAAGAAATAAGAGCAGCCTCAGCTGTTCTCAGATTTAAAGTTACAGGACTCATGAAGTGTCTAGATGTCACCACGCTTCTTTCATCATCGTCATCTAAATTGTCTTCCACACCAGCAAAAGAACTTTAAAGAGTATTGAGAAACTTTCAGTAAAGGGTCATAGAAGCTTCACTTCTAGAATACACCACTGTGGTGATGCTATTTTCGGTTGGCTGGTCCAGCTTGCCTCCTGACAAATTTTTGTCAGATGTATTTCAACTGAAGAGAAGCTCTTCACTGTATTAAAACAGGTGCCAGCAAGGTGCCTCTCTTGTCACCGGCTTTCCTCTGAGAAAACTACACTATGATTGTAGCACAGCTGTAATTACCTTCAATACTGAATCTGTTCCAGGAAGGGGTTTTGGTCATGGTAGCATGCAAATGCTATACTATACAAAAATCAAGACACTCCACAGGCAACACAGCAGCCAGGGAAAAGGGATAAAAACTGTTCAGTGGCACGTTTTCCTAGATCGTTTCAGGCTTGCCACACCAGTGATATTGTTGCTGAAAAAGGTTGCTATTTTGGGGCCTTGCAATTTTTCTTCAGGAAGAGAATTAATGGCGTCTCAATTCTGTAGAAAATTAAATGAGATTGAGACACACTATGCACAGGTGCATTGTAGCTGTCTTTATTAACTTAGTTGGTATTTTGTCCTAGTGAAATTTTCTAACCCAAAGTTAAACAAGCCATTAGATTTCAGCATATGAACTCTTTGACTTTTCCAATAGGAGTTTTTATTAACATTTCCAGTGGAGACATGCATCTTAGTTTAGTAACTTTAAGCCGACTGGCTAGGCTTGCCTAGCTTTTGCTTCTGTAAGTCTCTTAGAAGTATCACCGTGCCTTTCCTTGGGGGTCTGCAGACAACAGATTGGAAGTCACTGTGCTGAGGTAATGTGAAAGCAAATGAGATAGAGCTCACAGCAGGCAGGCAGGCTCTTTTTTGAAAGGAGACAGGGAAAGTCCGTGGCAAGCTGGAGATGGAGATGGTATTCTTACTGCGAGTCACAAGCTCTTATGACTCCAGTCCCAGCCTACAATTTGCAATACTGTCACAGTCTGCTGCCTCTGTCACTGGTAGCCTACCTCTCCATTAGCAGGATGAAATTTGTATTTGTCAACATTAAAACTTGTTTCCTTCCTTTTTTTCCCCACTAAAAAAGGCTAAAACCAAAAGAGACCACTTCATTGATGCCTGCAAAGCCTGAGACAGTGGCTCCAAGGCGTGCAAACTGTCTTTTATACCTGATGGTAAATCCTAGAAAGAGTAGTCCACAGATAGATAAAGGAATCACAGCTTGTCCTAGATAGGATCCTTGACACAAACATAATCTATAGAAGGCTTATTATACAGAAAAAAGCAGAGTAAGTATTCCGTAGGCTCCAGAGCTTCAAACTGTATCATCGTTTCAGAGTCAATAAAGGCAGATATTAAAAGGCACATGCCTTATCTTATCTTTGGACTTTTACTCACATGGCAGACCAAACCAATACTGTTTACTACAAATATCTATTGGTGCCCTTCCAGATTGTCATTGAAGTCATTCTGAACGGCCTTTGTAAAGACAGCTTTCTTTATATGGAATCAAACCAATACGAGGAAAGTTGCTTTCCTTTTTTCCTTTTTACTGAACTCACAGTGTTTTGAGGTTATTGACACAGTACCTTGGCTTTGAGGTTGTGTTTAACTTGACTCTTAATTGCTGTGCTGGAATAATTTTGCTCTGTATTACACCACCATACCAAGATTTTCAAGAACAAACCTCTGGAACTAGGTGCCTGTATTAGTACATGGGTTTCTGAAAAACACAGGAAACCCATTTGTTCTCAAATTCAATGGCCACATACATAGACTCTTTAGGAAGCCAAGGTACTAACCTATGGCACTCTCCTGAATGCATTGGCATTTGTTTTCTTAGCAACTTTTAAAGAATTCTAAAAGATTTTAAGAGTTTGAAGACTAGTTTAAGGACAGTTTAGACTCTAATTTAAAAAAATAAGAAACTTTAAAAGGCATTTTAAAGAATAACATGCAAAGACTTTAAGACCTCTTTAGTTTGCTTGGAGCAGGGAACTGGACTAGATGATCTTCAAGGGTTTTTTCCATCCTAAATCTTTCTATGATTCTGAATGTCATGAGAAAGTTTTCTCTCACATCAAAAAAACATAAATTCACTCACTGCTATAATAAGTCTCACTGACACTGTTCTCCACTTCTAGAAGAATGTTACCTATTCTATGGCCAACTGGAGTAAGGCAACAGTGTCTGGAATGAAGTGGGTAAAAAGTTACATTATAAAAGGAGGTTGATTCAATGTCATTGGCAGACAAACTGCAGAGGCAAGTAATTAATATTGACTGGCCAGACTTTACCACACATGTTTATGAAGAATATTACATTAAAAATCAGAGGCATACGTTTTGATTTTGCAGCAGATTCTTTGAGGATGGGAGACAGTTGCCTGGCAACTTCTGGTCTCATCACCCTTTCATTAAATGTATGTAACAGTTTTCCTCTACTACTTTGAATTTAAAAGCTTCACTGAATAATGAAAATAAGTCAGAAGCATATTTAACAATAGTTCTCTATTGTTAGCATAAATAATATCCTCATTTTACTTCCTTTACCCATCAGCAGTAGAGTCTAGAAAAAAACATCTGACTCCCTTGTTATTTCTTTGCACTACACTGCATATGAAACTGTGCAATTGTCAGTGCCAAGCATCTTTGCCCTGAAGAACTGAGTCTGGAAGAAGCTAGGCTGAGATGAGCTAAGAAATACAGGAGTTAGCAGTTGGATTTTTTTTCCAGCAGTATAGTTTAAAGGAATTTTTGTTGTTGTTGTTGCTAGAGCTGTCACCACTGAAGATGAAACTTTGGTCCTGTATCATGTAAGTTTTAAAAATGTATTTTCTGGATGGGCACCACAACAGCTCATGTCTTTCAGTGAGACATGCAAAAACCACTTTCTGGTGACACTTGTCTGTGGTACTGCCTTGGGATAAACTGCTAATGGAAAGTTGTCTAACTCTCAGCCTCCAAATGCAATTATGCTTTTCCCAGGCAGACACGCATTGAAAAATGCTTCTAAAAGCCAGTCCTAACATTGGCAGTGTATGAAAGCCAGTTTACTCTTATTCTCCTTCCTAGCTTCTTTTCTTCTACTCCGGTCTATTTCAGGATGCATTATAAATTCAGTTCTGTAACATTTTCCAGAAGGTTTTCAGTTAAAGACTGCAAGAGGTCATTAAGTGATTGTCCCTCCTGCTTGATCAATTGGGATTGATCCATCAGTCTCTTTCTTTGTTTTGCTATCATAAATCCTTTGACCTTCAGTGAGTGAAATAAGTGTAAATCCTGTGTGCTGCAGGTCTATGCCAGCTGGATCAGATTAAGAGGGTGGGGTAACACTGGGGATTAATTATGTGAAGAAAAAAGGGAACAAGAAGGGACACATAGATACCATCCCCAGAACTTCTTGGGAGGAGACTGCTAGTATGCACTTAGGTAAAAGGCTGAAATCATGCAGAGGAGCTTGTGCTATCAGCAGGACTTGCTAGTTTGGAGAAGGCTCTCCAATACTTTTCAGAGTGGGGCTGTGTAGGAGGTATATAGGAGGTATACTTTAACTCATGGCATGAAAGCAGAGCCTCTTATGCACTCTGTGGGTCCACCTCTTGTATTCCACTAGCAGAGTGACCTGGTCTGTGGGGAGAAAAGATGTGGTGCTATGAGCACAGGAGGTGGTGGTGCTAAAGAAATGTGTGAATCTCATGCTCAGCCCATGAGATTTGACAAGTCTGGAGTAACACAGAGACTGAGGCCTTGTTTAAATTGCATCTTAACCTGGAGTGTGATTTAAAACCAAGATGCTTAAACTTGTGCCAGTACTTATGTGGGCACTTGTTTCAATTTAATTTGATTAAACATTTAAAGCATAATGAGAAAGGCAGTCTTAGCATTGGAGGAAAAACAATGTAAGTTATCTTCCCTGTGGACAAAACCTTGCTTTCCAAATGTTCAGTTCTCATATGTCAATTACTCAAAAGAGAATGTTCTTTGCATTTTGTATCCAACCTGTGGCAAGGAAAGAAAAGCTAGAGCCACCTAAAATTTGGCAAAAGCATATGTTAAAATCAGTATCAAACTTTATTAGATTCATGCAAATAGTAAGGTCATATAACCAGCTAGGCCCTTGTCTTCCTCTTGGCCATTACTGGCCTGGGTAAGATGCAGAACCTTAATGCAATATGAAGTCAGAAAAATCAACTGAGTTTTAATAGTTAAATTAGGTTTTGCAAAACATCCCACTTAAAGAAGCGTGAACTCCAAGTTAATGAGTGCTTGCTCTACAACAGTCCTTCTGCAATTTACCTTTCTATTATGCCAGGCCACCTTTTCTCTTACTCCAAAATGCTGTGCATTATTTCCAGGGGCAGATAATAGACCTGGTAGGTCCTACTGTACACCCTGGATGTAAACTGTGGCAGAAAGAAGTGGCAAATACATGGAAGTAGTGGGTCTTAATCTCCAAGATAAGGCAGTGCATGGAAGAAGTAAACTGAAACCAAGGTAGGATGAAGGAGATGTACAAAGGTCTGTGTAAGTCAGATCTAATTGCAGGATCCTCTTTGCTCCCTATGTACAGAGTTTAGGCAGCCAAGGGGCTCTAGACCAGATGCAGCTTTTGCTAAGTGTAAGAGACTTTAGCTAGTGAGGCTTTAAGCCCAAACCCTGTGCAAGAACTGATTTTTAGGCAAGATTTTGTCATATTTGAAGTGAAACGTATTTCTCACAGCTGTATAACAGTATGTGTTTTGTTCTCCCCTGGGAGCAGTGGAGTGAAGTGCAGCAGATGATAAATGGTACCCCGATCTACATGTACCAGGACTGCAGTGTGCTTTCCGAGGGTGACACTGATCACTGGCTTCGCACCAACTGGATTTATCGGGGTGAGGCAGCCTCACGTGTTTATGTGGAGCTAAAGTTTACGGTGAGGGACTGCAAGAGCTTCAAAGGTGAGGTGGTGACCTGCAAAGAGACCTTCAATCTCTATTATATGGAGTCTGAACAAGATGTTGGGATCCAGTTTCGCCGCCCGCTGTTCACCAAGGTCTGTATTGCTGGGGGTGAAGACTGAGTCATATCTTTCAGCTTAAAGTTGTCATATCTTTCAGCTTAAGCTAGGTGTGTCTTGCTGGCTGGGACAGGCCAGGAGAACCAGCATGCAGGGAAGGGCATGGGATAGTAAGTGTTGTCCTTAGATTAAACTTTACCCCCGGTGCCCTCTGTGATGCTCAGAGCACTCTTTGCCACGGGAGGCATAGGAGGTTTCAAATGAGATCAGACCTGTGTTCTGCATAACCTCTTATTTAACCAGACACCACGTAGGTAAGGATTCTAAAGGGTTGTGACAGGGCTGGATGGTTACACCAATTTTTAGAAATAGTAAAGCAGAGACCAAAGGAATTTTACTTGCCTTAGGGAATAAAACAAGATTAGACCAAGCAGAGAACAGAATCCAGTTCAGGTCTCAGTGGTCCTGATTATTTACTCTGATTGCCATGAGGTAGAGGGTCTTGTTTCATAAACCTGGAGGTGATGGCTTGCTACAGTGAAGTTCTCCCTGGTGTGAAGGTATTTAGCACTGCTGTATTTTACCTGCTATTTTCCTCAATGTTGTGCTCTCTTGCCATGGAAACACTGGAACTGCAGGACAGAAAACCTCTGCTTATTTTTCAGAGAAAATTCTCTAAACCAATTCTCTTCTAATAGAAACCACAGACCTACCCTTTCCTTTGCAGTTTAAATGAGATGCGATGGAAACAAAGAGTAATAAAGGCCACGACAGGTAGAGCAGAACTCTGGTAACTGATTCCCCTCCCTCCCCAGTGCTCCTCCACCTCCCCTCCAGCCTACAACATGAATTTGTGCGATACCTCCACAACTCCTAAACATGCCTTATGATCCCTGCCAAATACAGCTGCTCTGCAGAGCCTTTCATCTCCCATCCAACTGCAAGGAGTGGGTGGTGTCGTACAATGGGAAGGGGCCTGGGGAGGAGAGGATCAGTTATCAGGCTCTCCCACCAAGAAGAAAGGCCACCCCACCTGCAGTCCTGCTCTTCCATGTCACAGGGTGTCACAGAGGCCTTTCCCATTTGCTCAAGCATGGAAAATATCCTCACTCACTCATTCACTCTTACCCTTTGTTTGCAGAGGCAGTGGGAATGCAAAAGCATGGGAGTATTTTTCACCCAAGTACCTACAGTCCTGAAATATGTTGAGTGCTGCACAGGGAGCACCTTACAGTAGATTATCTGAACTGCAGCAACTATAGCCTAAAAACAAGTGGCTGTAATTCCCTGGTTGGTTTCAAAGCACAGGTCTTTAGTGGTGTTGTAGATTTACTGCATGCAACTTGTAAAGAAAATTATGACAGAAAAAGGGCAGTTCCTGAAGACCTCTGAAATCAGAGGCTCGGAACACAGGGTACTGTAGAAGACCAGTGAATGACTATAAAGCAGTTGAAGGAGATGATGGAAGGTACAGAGGCAGGAAAATATGCCTGCCCCATTTTTAACACCTCTTTCAAGTGCAAAGAAAGCACGAAGTGCAGTGGCATTAGAAGCAGTTAACCAGACAGCCCCTAAAAGGCCTTAGTATAAAAGAGGCTTGAGAGGAATGGGTATCTCAGCTGCTGTAGCCTGTTCAGATGGCAAAGCTTTTGTCTTTCTCTTTTTCATGTAGCTCAACACTGTGGCAGCAGATCGAAGTTTCACAAGCAGAGACATCGAGTCGGGGGCCATGCAGCTGAACACAGAAGTGTGCCCCATTGGGAAGCTCTCTCGCCGGGGCTTCTACCTGGCTTTCCAGAACTCTGGGGCTTGTGTAGCGATGGTGTCTGTCCGAGTGTATTACAAGACTTGCCCGGAGGCGGTGCGGGGCCTGGCCCGCTTTCCAGAGACGCTGGCAGGGTCAGAGGGGCTGACAGAAGTGCCCGGAGTGTGTGTGGAGTACGCAGCTGAAGAAGTGGGCTCTCCCCCAAGGATGCACTGCAGCACTGACGGGGAGTGGCTGGTACCAGTGGGCCGATGCCTTTGTGCTGTGGGGTTTGAGGAAGTTGATGGGAGCTGCGTAGGTGAGTATGCAGACACTAGCTGTAGGCCATGGGAGAGGTTCCAGAGAGCTAAAGATCAGAGTATCTGTAAGCAGAAAGTGGGATCAGGAGTTAGTGTGGTCTACCTCTCTCTTGCCTACCCTCTGTATCTTATATCTTTCCTTCTCCTTTCCTTCTTAGCTTCTCTTAGTCAGTTGTGATTTTTCTCCTCGTGTGTCAGGTGCAAGACCTGCACACACCTCTCCACTCCCTCTTGGGCTTCATCCAGGAGCTTTCAGCTCTGGAGCTAGTTTCTGCGAGCTGTAACTGTGTGATTGACACTGACTCACTCAACAACTGGTTCTCAACCCTTGAACAGCAGCCTTGTTCTCTCAGGGCAGATGGGTCAGACACACAGAGCAGGGTATTTATCCCATGACTAGACAGCTGAGAGGCAGAGGGGAGAGGTTTCTCCTCTGTCCCTCATTCTTGGACTGGTATGGCTCTTCTGCCATGGGAGACCGTGTAAAGCATATCGCACAACGGCGTGGTGCCTGCCCTTCTGAAGAAGAGCAATTAGCAAGCAAAAGAGTCACCAGGGTGCTGGAGTCACAGCAAGAGTTGTTGGAGTAAGAAGTTCAGGACTCTCCCTTGGCTGCAGAGAAGACAAGATTCAGCTTCTTAAGGCAACTTAGTTTGACATGTGTGGTGTTTTGGAGGATATGTATTACTGCAGGGAGAGAGGTAAAAGACTCTGCTCTTGTTGCCAGAGCTGTGTGGCACAAAGCTAAGGCCACAGGGATCCATGCAGTGCTCTCAGATTCAGCAGGTGACCCGTGTCTCTGCTTTGCTCTGCTACAGGGAGCTGGGGTCTCTATGAATCCCTACTGCTTGCTGCTTGTTTTGCTTGGAGAGCTGGAGAAGGTTGAAGCACAAGATCCTTGGCCTCCTTCAGCAATCCCCTCTCTTTGCACAGCCCAGCCAGTTTTTCCACTTCGGTGCTACAGAGCTCTCCCCGCCCTCCTGAGAGCACTCCTCTGGGAAGGGGCAGGGAAGCTGTCATGTCTGGACAAGCCTCGACTGCTATCGCAGCACAGGTTCATTCTACATCTGTGCTTTCATCCCACTCCGCCCAAGTACAGCTGCAGCCAGAAGTATGTTTTGCAGGATTAGTAGGGACAGGGGAAGTCTCCCAGGAGAGGAAGGGAAGAGGGGAGAACCTAGCAGGAGTAGAGAGAAGTACTTCATGACCAGAATAGTGTCTTATTGGAGCATCAGGGGAGAAGGTGAATGCAGTGGAGGGGATATCTTAGGATCAACCCCCTCAGCAGAAAAGACCAGACTGTGTAATGGACTGGGAGTAATCCAGCTCAGGATAAAGACTGAAATCACAGCTTTTACTTTGTCCTCAGAACAGATGAGGTCTTCCTCAGGCACATAAAGTGTGACAGAATAGAAGATGTGGCAATGTCATTCTAATTCTGAGTTCTGCCTGGAGTAGGGAGAGAAAAAAAAAAAAAAAACAACCCACAAAAAACAAACAAACAAAAAAAACACCCCACACCTGGAAAGCTGCACCTTTGCCTTTTAACCAGGAAAAGAACCTGATCTCTTGTTATAGGACAGTAGACACCAGAAAGCCAGAGGTTGGTTCAGGTCCTTACTTAGTTCCCTCAATCTCTCCATCAATTCCCAAAGGTCTGCTGAGGGTAGAATGGCTTAGCCACCCCAGAGTCCCAGAAAAGCTGTGCCTGCCCCAGAGCATTCAGACTTTGCTGCCCATAAACCCAGAGCTCGTGATTAACTTCCTCAAGTATGTAATTTGCTGTGCCCACAGAGGCTGGCTGTGCCCCGGCCTGTGCTCTGGCTCCTTGCTGGGCTCTGCAGGCCGGCAGGTGAGCCGAGCTCCCCGCCAGCCCCGCTCTGGGGCCTGCAGCCTTCCCGGCCTAGCTGGGACTCACGAGGGGCACCTGCAGGAATAAGGAATGAAGGAAGCGCCCCATCCATCCTTTCTGCCCCCTGGTGCTTGGTGAGCAGGCCCCTTCCCAGACTCGTTTTTCCCATCGTGCCGCCCGGAGCGGGTGCTCAAGGCCCGGGGAAACCGGGGGCCAGCGGGGCTGGGCAGGGGCCGAGGCTACTGGCTCTGCGCCCGCCTCGCCCGCCTCCCCCTGGCCGGCCGCGGGCAGCTGCCCCTCCACCTCCGCACCCCCGGGGCAGGGCGGGGGGAGCCGGGAGCACCAGCAGGCCCTCCGCACCGCCGGCCCCGGGGCCGGGCCGGGCCGGGCTCCGCGGGCCGCTCCCGCCCCCTGCCGGCCGCCGCCGCCAGCTCGTGTCGCCGGTGTCCCCGCTGCTGCTCTCGCCTCCTGAATTTGTCCCTTGGAGCCGAGTACGCCGTGCAGCTCCCGCCCTGCGGCATCTCTGCCAGGTTGTGGGCTGCCTGCAAGGCATCTCCTGCTTGGAGGGGCTCGGCACAGCATGGGTGGGCGGTGGGCTGGAGTGGCGCTGGGGAGGAACAGAGGCTCTCCTGGGGTCAGAGTTACCTGTCCTGGAACATAAGTCTTATGAGGAGCGGCTGGAGGAGCTGGGGGTGTTCAGCACGGAGACTTATCCCTCTCTACAAATACCTGAAAGGAGGGTGTAGCCAGGCGGGGATCAGTCTCTTCTCCCAGGCAAGTAGTGACAGGACAAGAAGACACAGTCTTTATCTTGTTTAGGCTGGACATTAGGAAGAATTTCTTCAAGACGGGGTGATTAGACATTGCAATGGGCTGCCCATGGCGGTGGTGGAGTCACCATCCCCGGAGCTGTTTAAGAAAAGGAATGTGGCACTTAAAGCTATGGTCCAGTTCACATGGTAGTGTTCAGTCACAGCTTGGACTTGATGATCTCAGAGATGTTTTCCAGCTTAATTGATTCTGTGATTCTTGCAAAGGTTCCCAACCCCAAATTTCTTTCATTTACTTGCAGGCGGTCTCAGCCTGATAAGAGTGTATGTATATTGTGTCATATCTGTGGCAGGCAACATCAGCACCTCTGTGTTATACAAGAATATGGCCATGCACTTCCTTTGTTTTTCATGTCAAAGCTCTCCTGACCCAAACTGATCCAATGTCAGGAACTCTCAAATCTTATGCTGGAACAAAGTGGTAGGAGGCCTCAAAACTTTCATCTTCAGTCCAGCAAGTAGAAGTGCTCTCAGTTGTGAGCAGTCTGAAGATCAAAGTAACCTTTACTGCCTGTTTCTCAAAGGGATTATTTGATCTGGAGTGTAAGTGGAATCTCTTTAGGCTGTGACAATCAATACTTGAGCCTTGTAATTATTTTCAATGGCCTTTGCTATCATTAATCACATAGTTGCATGATTGTATCTCAGAATGATAGATTTTCCTGAGTGGTTCTGTCATTTCCCAGAATCAGAAGGTGCTGGTTGCTCCTACTTGTGACTACTTCTCTTTTCTGGGCTCTTTAAGCATCCCTTCTGCAGACTGATGATGAGTAGTCTTGTTTGGCATGTGTTAGTGGAAAGTTTTCAAGGTCCCTCAGATGTTCCTCTTTGTCATATAGTAGGAATGGCTGGGTTGTTTTTTTGTCTTCTGGATAAAGAATCATTTCCTATACTATGCTCCACTACAGTAAGCTATTTGTGTGAAGCTCCTCAACAGATGGTTTTCTCCATTGGGATCTCTTGAGGATTACACAGGATATTGTTGCTTTTATAGTGCAATATAAAAAGGGTCATTCCCTCAATGCGCAAGTTAAATGCAAAGTGGTAGTTCTGGCAGAAAATTGAAAATTAGTCTATGCATTTCTCAACCATCTGATTAGCAATATGTTGGTTGTTTCTTTAGCTAAAGAACTTCTGATTCATTTAGCACAGGCTGGAAAACCATTAAATTCACAGGTTTCCTTAAGCTCCGTCACTGATTTTCTTCTCCCTGCTACAACCGTACAGGTGAAGCATTGACCTTGAGACAACTGGTAAGCTGACCAGTGCTTCTGTGGATTGAACTAATAGTAACACAGTAAAACCAGGTGGTCAGATGTTATACTGGGAGAGTGTGGTTGCTAATTTTTGTAGAACTAGAAGTAGAAAGCATGTGTCACCTATTCTCTTGTAGTCTGTGTTGGCTCCATAGCCAGTTACACTTGATGCTGTGAGGTGAACTGATAGCTTCCTAGATATCCCCCAGGGCCCTGCCAGGTGATGCTCTGGTACAACACTTGAAATCTGCAAAGATGCTTCTGCTAAAAAGCCTACTGGCTAACTCACATGAAGTCAGCAAGCAGAAGACTCTGAGGAGTGCAAGGATTAGTAGTTACTATTCTTATTTGTGGTGTGGAAAGCTTGAAGGACAAGGTGGGGACCAGTCTGGGTTTATATTGGAAGATGTTTCTGAGGTTGACTGGATTCTGTATTCATACAGCATCTGTGAGGAATTAGATCCCCCTGCTTCAGTCTGCAAGTCCTGTCATAATACTGATGCTACCTTGTGTTTGCATCTTCTCTCTATCTGCTCTGAGATGATTGATCTAGGTGACTGCCAGGTGTCCAGATGTTCCTTTCAACCTAAATATTTCTGTAAACTAAAAAAATGGAGGCAGATAAAGGAGTGTTCAAGAAGCTGAGCAAAACTGCCAGGCAGTTTTTTGTTGATCTGGGTTTATTGATTATGTTTTATTGGCTTGTTTGTCCTTCCACAGCCTGCCAGCGAGGGTTCTACCGCCACTCCCTGGATGCTAAACGCTGCCTGAAGTGTCCCCCCAATAGCTTGTCCAACGAGTCAGGGGCCACATCTTGTCCCTGCAATGCAGGCTTCTACCGAGCGCCTTCGGAGGGCCAGAACATTGCTTGCACCCGTGAGTCGCACACAGAAAGAAAGAACAATATCCAAACAGGCTGGGGGATGAACTTACTGAGAGCACCACCAGAGAGGAACTTGGGGGTACTGGTGGGTGAAGAATTGGGCATGAGCTGGCAGTGTGAGCTTGCAGCCCAGAAAGCCAAGTGTATCTTGGACTGTGTCAAAAGCATATGGCCAGCAGGGCGAGGGAGGGGATTCTCTTCCTCTACTCTGCTCTCATGAGACCTCATATGTAGCCCGGGAGGGCTACATCCCGGTCTGGGGCACCCAGTACAAGACAGACTGGGATCTATTGGATCAGGTCCAGAGGAAGGCCCTAAAAATGATTGTAGGGATGGAACACCTCTCTCATGAGAAAAGGTTGAGACAGTTGGGGTTGTTCAGCCTGAGAAGAGAAAGCTTTGGGGAGATCATCCTGTAGCCTTTCAATACTTAGTGAGGCCTGCAAGAAAGATGAAGAAAAGGTTTTTGTACCGAGGCCTGTAGTGACAGCACAAGGGACAATGGTTTTAAACTGAAAGAGGGTGAATTTAGATGAGACACATAGAAGAAATTTTTTATGAAGAGGGTGATGAGACACTGGAACAGGTTGTGGGCACCCTGTCCCTGGAAGTGTTCAAGGCCAGCTTGGATTGGGCTTGGAGGAACCTGGTCTAGTGAAAGGTGTTCCTGCCTGTGGCAGGAGGGTTGGAACTAGAAGATCTTTAAGATCTCATCCAACCCAAACCATTCTGTGATTCCATGAACAATGATATGGGGAGAAAACAAAAGGTTGGAAAATGGGAATGAGAGATCAGAGAGGGAGAAGCTGGGGTGCAGAGAGGGCTCCATTTGAAGTGCATCAGGAGATGGGAAGCTGTCACAGAACTTTGGGCATTAACAGCTGGATCTAATACTTCCTTCTCTGCTCCCTGTAGGCCCACCCTCGGCTCCCCACAATGTCAGCTTCTCCCTCCTCGGCACCCAGCTGAGTCTGTGGTGGCAGCCGCCCAGTGACCACGGTGGGAGGAAGGACCTGACTTACACAGTCTTCTGCCAGCGCTGCCAGTTCCTGTCCTGTGAGCCCTGTGAGGCTGGTGTGGTGTTCTCCCCCAGTGCCTCTGGTCTCACGAAACCTGCAGTGGACGTGGATGGCCTAGAAGCTTACACCAATTACACATTCACTGTGGAAGCCCATAACGGTGTCTCAGGAATGGGTCCTGCTCCACAGAGAACTGCTCCAGCTGTCTGGGTCTCAGTTGGACATGCAGGTTAGCAGAAGCAGAGAGAATTTCTTCCTGCTCATCACGAAAAGGAAGAGGAATCTCTGTGAATATTTAAGCTTTCTCCATCTTCTCCTTGTGCCTGACACAAATGTTGGTATGGTATGCTAAGGGTTCTAAAGTACCTCTGCCTCCATTAGTCATATTCATTGCAAATCAATGTAGCAATAATCATTATCCACCAAGAGCTATGAATCCACTAAGAACTTAACAGAGATGAGGAGGATGAAGCCCTCCCTGTCACACAGCCTAAGTACTGTTACCTCTGTGACAGGAAGAATGAGGGCTGTGTCATGAAATACTTTGTGTGACTCAGATATTGCAAAACACCAAACACAACTGAAACCCTGGTGTAACTGGAAAATAAAAGGTTTTGAAAGAACGGAGGGATGAAGATATTAAATCTTGACACATTTCTGTAGGTTAGCTTCAATCTGGCTAGTTTGGCTGTCCTGTAAATATTTTCCAGAACACCATGAAATGTGATTATAGAAAGGTGACATCACAGTGCTCAACAGCCCTTGGTGCATTCCCTGGGTTCTAATTTAGTAACAAAATATGACTTTTCTTCCTGATGCTATGTGAGGGCAGCACAACTCTGAGCTACAAAAGCAGAGCTACTTTTGGCTTGCCTCATCACTTCCTGATGAAAATAAAGGACAAGGAGAGAACCAGGCTTAACTCCTCAGTCCTTGCAGACTCTTGAGAATTATCTTTTTATTCATGAACAGCATGCATTTGCAGTCAGCTGAGAGATTTTGAGCATTGAGTTTCACTGTACTCTTATGCAATGCAGATGCATTCATAAATCATTACATAGGGTAGCTGTGCTGCTGCTGTAGGAGCATAAAATCCTAACATTTTTTATTTCAAATTGGACACTTTCAGTGCAGTCCTGGAATAAATGTAATTTCTTGGAACATGGATTTTGTTTTGAGGGCCAAACACAGTTATGCTTCCAGTGTTTGGGCAGAAGAACACTATTCACAGAAAGCAATTAATTACAACCAGAGACCTCCTTTCCCTTACACCACACAAGAAAAAAATGACAGTGGCAATGACAGTGGCAGTTCCAGTTGCATGGTATGACCAGAGCTTCTGGTGGAGAGAGGACATGGTTAGCATTTTGTTTGTATTTCTCCCTCATGTTCTCTGTTCTCTCCCACTGCAGCTCCAGTGACAGTATCCCAGTTTATTCTGACACAGAGAGATGACAGTAGTCTTTCTGTTTCTTGGCTTGCCCCATGGCAACGCAGCCGGACTTCAGTGGAGTATGAGGTCATGTTCTTTGAGAAGGTAAGGCCTGCCTGATTTGCTCTTCCCCCTTTCACCCAAAGGGGTGGAAGTGTCCTCTTGTTCAGCATGCATTTGTTACTTGATCCTGTTTGGTTCCTGCAGGGGGAGGAGGCACGTTACACAGTGAAGCACCTTCTTGAGCCGAATGTCACTCTGCGAGACCTGCAGCCAGACACAGCCTACCTGCTCCGTGTGAGATCCATCACACCACTGGGGCCTGGGCCCTACTCCCCGGAGCAGGAATTTCGCACCCTTCCACCAGGTAAAGGACAAGCACTGTCTCATCTGGGAGAAACTCACTTCCCCAACAGATTGTATATTCTCATGGTACATGGATCTCTTTTTGTGTTCTGCTGGCTGTAAGGCAAGACACCACTCTCCTGAGTTCCTTGTCACCAGAGCTACGCCTGTTGCTTTGTAGAGACAAAAGACATTTTTCTTGTTTCCTTGTCATCTTACAAAATTTGCTTGCACTTTCCCCTTTAGACCTGATCTATCTCAGTTTATTGTGTTGTACTGCCATAATACTTAACCATTTAGTTCTTGAAAGACATTTTAATTTGGCTAATGTTTCTAAGTTTGAGTGCTGGTCAAATGATTACCATATGCCTCCTTCTGTGTGCCAGTTACTAGTGAAAAGGAGAACTCAGAGGACCTCAGCTTTTTTTTTTTTCCAGCTTTATCAGTTCCACTGTATGTAGTCCAGCTCCTGAATGTAGCTCTGCCCAAAGAGATGGTATGTGCCACTGAAAAAAGTTCTTCACCAAAGTACAATGTGTAGAAGGCCAAGATGTCAGGGCCACAAGAAGACCTTTCTCCTGTGTCAAAGAACATCTTATATAGGCCTGACACCCAACCTCCTCTTTCCTCGGGTCACCCAGAAGCTTCCCCTTAATCTACTGTTTTCTCTAATGGAATTTGCTCTCTCTTCATTCCACAGACTCCTGTTGACCCCATGGATAACTTTAGAAAAGTGCTGCATTTGAAAGATTAATTTTATTATAATGAAATAAGGACACGAGGAAGAAAGTTAAGGCATACCTTAATGTAACTAAATATTTAGATTAACAGTGTGAAAGCTGATAAGGAGTTGAGATACCATAACTGGAATATAAAGGTTGGGTCCTTTTAGTCACCAGGAGCTTTTGGTAAAATATTCATGAAGTCACAGTGACAAATGATAACAAAAATTATGTTTGACCAATTAAATAAGGTACTACAGAGGCCCTGTGAAAAATACATAAATTAACATTGAAAATTGTTTTGATTAAGAAAGAATAAAATAGAAAATACTTTCATTAATATTATGCTTTATTTCAAATGAAAGTTAATCACATTATCATGCCAAGACAAAGATATTTTGAATATGAAAGGGATTCAAAAGAAGTGCCAGCAAGGTTTCATTTGAAGGTTCTTGTTTGATAATACTAGAAGCATTTTTAGCTGTTATAGTCTAGAAATATTAGTGTAGGAGGATTTGCAAGAAATGGCAATTTTGTATTTAAATCTGAATTTGATAATTTAGATCCCTTAAATTCCTGCAGAAGTCCTGTATATCTAAATGCTTCTCCATTTTATTAATAAAGATACTATTTCACTTTCCAAATCTTAGCTTTTTGATTTTAACAAAACAAGGACATTAGGTCTGTCACTTGATTTCTGCTTAAGTAAGCTGATGATTTTTAATAATTTTAGTGGGATGAGTCAGAGGAAGAATAACTAGTGTTAATTAGGCTTTATGGATGCTGGCCATTCAACTAGATGTTAGGAAATGCTTCCCCACACAGATCTGTGTATCATTTGTTCCTCGCTTTAAAATATTTTAATTTGTTTTAAAAAAATTATTTGGGCATTTTTTTCTTCCGGATGTTTTTCTAAATTTCTTTTGGAAAAATATTTAAAAATATGTAGATTCTCATTACTTCTCAATTAATGCATTTTAAGTTCTTAATTTTGTTGTTTTTTGTTGTTTTTTTTTTAAATTATGATAAATAAGTTTTAAAATGACCAGCAGAGGTAATATAGCATTTTCTCTGATGAATTCAAATGTACTTTGTAGAAATGCCTAGCTTTAGCTTGAGAACCTAAATGGAAGGAGACAGCCTGTGTTACGTGAACACTCTCTCACAGATATCCAGTCATAGAATGAAACAACCTGATGGCCAGTTTTGAGAAAATAGGAATATGATAGACTGCAAGTTTGTAAGTCAGTACTTATTTTAAGCAGTGAGGGGCTTTTGTTAGGGTAATTAGGCAAGGGTCCAGCCCCAGATACTGATGGGGGGGGAGCGTATAATTAATTTCATAAACAAGAAGAGAATCACTTTAGAGTGTTGAGAAAATCATGTCTTTGCTTTGCCATAGTTTAAATCAGCTACTGAGCAGGAGGAAGGGCCTGATCTGAAAGGATTGTTGGAGAGGAGTGTTGGGGAAGGAACATCTGTTCTTCACTTTTGAAAGTGTCATGGAATTTAAGTAGGAAATCAGACACAGGGATAAATTACTCAGCTGGAAGACCAAGATTGTAGATAAGAGTCAACCAGAGAACCACCAGAAGGTGCTCCATGCACAAGAATAACCGTGTGATAGGACTCCCATCTGGTGGCTCTGCTGCCTGGAAGACAAAGGGCTGTAACTTGCCTAATGCCATTAACTGGTGGAAGCTGGGTGGTATGTTCCAGGCAAATACATATTGGTCTTTGAAGTGATACGGCCTCTCTCTTTGCTTCTGCAGACACTGGAGCTCTGTCTGGTGGAGTCATAGTCTCTATGATCTTTGGAGTTCTCCTATTTATTGGTCTAATTGTGGGATTTTTCATGTTTCAGCGAAAGTAAGTATTGAATTTTGGTATTGAGAAAGGTATAGATGAATGAATAGCTGAGCCATGGGAGCTTGAGAAAGGGAGGCCCAGATTTCTCACAGGATATTGTATAGGTAGAGGTTAGTTAGAGGAGAAAAACACCAGCATGCTGCAGGAAGACGGAAAGGGTCTCAATAAATAATTTCAATTAGCAGGATTGGAAGGATTGATATTGTAAGATAATGTTTGCTGTTGGGAACAGAGGAATATGTTGTGATTTCTCAGTTTTGTTATAATCCAGCAGTGTAATATTGTTATCATGACAGAGGAATAAAAACATTGTTATGGTACAATCATTTCTATAGCTGCTGACCAGTTGAGTGATAATACATGCGTCCAGTAATTTCAAACCATTTTCCATATACCATTACTGTTGGGGTCCTCTACTACCAATTCTACTTTCCTTCTCAATGTCTATAAGGCTGCTGTTGCTTGGTTTTAAGAAGATCAGATATTCTACTGAAAAAGTACAGAAAACACGAAATAAACAGAAATTCATCTGTAACTCAGCACAAAACTCCCTCTATGAAAACAAAGCTCTATTTTTAAATGTTAATGAAGCATCACATTTTATTGCTGGCTGTACTGTTCCAAGTAGAGGCAGTGTCTGGTCTCACTTTGCTCTGTGCTACCCTGAACTCTGTTCCTAACCAACTAGGGCAGGCACCTTGGAAGTCTTGCTTTTTCCCTTTGCTATTTGCTGACCATTTTATTTTCACAACTCTTTTTGATGTTCCAGGAGGGCTCATCGGAGACATGCACGGTCAGATTACAATACTTCGGGCTTTGAGCGAGGTGAGGTTCAAAGGGGTAATAAAACCAGGGGGAAGCCTAGAATGTGTTGGAAGGAATGAAAAGAAACATTAGTTTGAAACCAGATACTGGCATGGCTTTTCTGATGTAATTTGCCTCTTCCCACAGCAGTTCTACTCTTCAGCGTGGGTTTGGTAGATTTTTTTTGCTGCCATTGTCAGAAGCCCATGGATTCACTTCTGCTTTTGTAGTTATGCTTTAAAAATGTTGTCCAAAAAGTTGAAAAGTTAATTTGCTCTTTTGTTTTCCTTTACCATAGAGAAGGTCTGGTTAAAACCCTATGTAGACTTGCAACCATATGATGACCCCAGCAGAGGTGTGCTGGAATTCATGAAGGAACTGGATGTCTCTTGTGTCACTATGGAGAATGTGATTGGAGAGGGTGAGTTACTTATTGCTCTCCCTGTCTTTCAGTTTCCCCACACTGTTTGTTTTGTTGCCTATCTTTGAGTTCATCTGTGACATTTTGCTTCTGGTTGTCTTCAGGGGAGTTTGGGGAGGTCTATCGTGGGTCCCTGCGACTCCCGGGGAAAGAACGTATTGTAGTTGCCATCAAGACTCTGAAGTCAACATATTCAGACTCACAGTGGTGGAACTTTCTGCGTGAAGCAACAATTATGGGGCAGTTCAATCACCCAAACATTGTGCATCTGGAGGGAGTTGTCACCAAAAGTAAGTGTGTGTGAGAGAAATTCCTGGGATGACAGCAGAAGCTGGCACATATCTCAGGCCTTTCTTAGAGAGTTTGTTGTCAGAGAGGCTGTTCTGGAAGAAGACAGGCATTGTCATGTCAGAGAATGAGGGAAGGAGGAGAGGTATGTATTTCCAACAGAGTCCTGAGGCAGTCTTAGGAGGGATCTTCTAGGGCTGGTGAGTAGATGAGAAGTCTGGATAGGGAGGGATGCTGCAGGGATGTGCAATACAAGGAGGAGCACAAGATCATTGGGAGATGTATAAGGAGAAGGGGCAGCCAGCTGTGCCAGTGGAGTGGGGGTGTTAGCTGGGGCTGGACATGGTTCTCTGTGTTGGGGAATATGGAGAGCTTTGAAAGGCATGAGTAAAATTTGAAAAAGGCTGAAACCCTCTTGTCTTCCTCAAGGGAGGCCAATGATGATCATCACTGAATATATGGAAAATGGAGCACTGGATACCTTCCTCCGGGTGAGAAAGTTCAATCTGTAATATGCTTGTGTACTGGCAGAACTTGCACTTGACCTGGATTTAGAGCCCTAAGATAAAACCAGAAGTAAGATACAGACATCCACTTACTTTCTGCTTACTGACATTTGCAGTGTCAGCAGCAGAAGCTTAATGCCATCCAGTTTGTTCAGTGACGAGAGTGGAGTCTTTGGTAGTTGAAATGCAACTGCTTAATGATGACTGGAGACCACCACCAGTCCCTTAGTGAGAACCTGTTGGGGCCTTTGGGCACTGCTTTTTTGCTTGTTCACCACTGCCCACTTTTGTATGTTGATAAGGTCAGTGACTAGAAACCAAGCAGATCGATGTCACTTCTCTCACTTCTTCCATGCAGGAGAATGAGGAAAAATTTAGCCCTGTGCAGCTTGTGAGCATGCTGCAGGGAATAGCTTCTGGCATGACCTACCTTTCAGAACACAATTACGTGCACCGGGATCTGGCTGCTCGCAACATCCTGGTCACACGCAGTCTCCAATGCAAGGTGTCTGACTTCGGTCTCTCCCGAATTTTGGAGAATGATGCAGAAGGAACCTATGAAACCAAGGTAATGCAAACCCAGTCTTTCAGCCTTGTGAATTAACTGTAGGCTCTGAGGCAAACCTGTAGTAAAATTGCAAGTCATGGTGTTGGGGTAGATGGGTCAGAAGGTGGTGCTTTAGTCTCTGGAGTCTACGTTGAGTTTGTTTGCTAAGAAATTCAGAAGGACTGTGGTGTTAAAATGAGAAGCAAAATAAGAGGTCTGATCACTTGGACTCAATTACTAAATCTAGCTTTGAAGATAGCCTCGCTGTGATCAGAGTTTTGGACTAGAGTGATCTCCATGTCTCTTTCAATGAAAGTTCCAGTAATTCTAATGTGTGGTGTCCTTCAAAGCAGGGCTGTGGCTGGTGTCAGGCTCTTACTCCCACAGCAGAGGTTTTGTGTAGCGTTCAACTGAACAGAGGGCTTAAACTCATTTACTTTCCAAGAATATTTCTCTCCTTTTGAGAAATTTCCCTGGGATGGTTACACGTCACTTCATTTGAAGTGGGCTTAATCTCTGAACCACTTTGTAAGGTGAAACACATGAAAACACTGGAGAAGTACAACTCAGTGATATATGCTGGATACACTATGTTTCTGCTGTTTTACAGGGTGGTAAGATTCCTATCCGATGGACAGCCCCAGAGGCCATTGCTCATCGCATTTTCACCTCAGCCAGTGATGTCTGGAGCTTTGGAATCGTCATGTGGGAGGTGCTGTCATTTGGTGACAAACCATATGGGCACATGACCAATCAAGAGGTAACAGACATTGAGTTCAAGACCTGATTTAAAAGATAAACGAGGCATGTGGGAAAAACTTTTGTAGATCTACCTCAGCCTGCAGTCTTGACTTTCTTTTGAGCACATAACTACTGTGTTTCCCTCCCTGCTTAAAATCAATGCAACCAAGTCAAGGGCAATAAGTATTAAGGTGTCAACAGCAAGAAGCCAAATTAAAGAGTGTTTAAATCCATGGCATTTGGAGCCATGGCATTTGGATCTGGGGATACTTTCTATTGGTTTTGTTTCCTCCTTCCTCTGGCTCTGGTGCATTATCTCTGGTCTTATTCTAGGGTCAGCACATGCTGTTAAAATTATTCCTGAGAGTCTGGTTCCCCTTCTCTCACTGTGCCAGGACCATTTGGACCTCACTTCTCATGAACATGTCCTGAGTGGCAAATGGGAGCTAAACTAGTAAGGGACTGAAAACACATGCATATGCCACTTAAGTTTTTGGCATCCCTTAGGTGTTTTGATCCTGTGCTGTGCTGCCCAAACCCTGTGTTTTATGTGTGTAATCTACACCAGGCCCTCCCTGGCTGCACATTGTGAAGTGGTGAATGGCTGCTCCCAGAGGTCTCTGGCTCCTCTTCTGCACTCTCTACTCTTGGCCAAATTTCTCTGTGTCCTCTGTGCAGGTGATGAAAAGCTTAGAGGATGGGTACCGGCTCCCCCCGCCTGTGGATTGCCCATCTATCCTCTATGAACTCATGAAGAGTTGCTGGTCACATGATCGGATGAGGCGGCCTCATTTTCAGGAAATCCGGGCACAGCTGCAGCATTTCATCTCAAGTCCCCAGCTCCTCCGGCCTGTTGCAGACTTTGATCCCAGGTAAGCAGACAGTCACCAGAGGAGGAGGGGTTAACTGGGCACTTCACCTCCCTGTCCCAGGCAAGAGAGGCAGTGAGAGCCATGCAGACTGGAGAGATGCACCTTGAGTGCACCGTGTGCAGAAGATAGTTGTCATCTCTGTCTCCTGGTGACAGAGGGCAGAGCCATTGGCCTGCTGTGACCTCACTATGCAGAGAGCAGATTAGCTGGCTCAGCCCTGGTGGAGGGTGCTTGCTTCCCCTTTGGTTACTGTCTCCTACTGCTGTCCATTTCAGGTGGTTGCCTGCCTAATTAAGGGTTTCTGTGTCTCCAGGGTAACACTCCGTCTCCCCAGCTGCAGTGGATCTGATGGCATCCCCTACCGATCCATCCCCGAGTGGCTAGAATCCATTCGCATGAAGCGCTACATCTCCAACTTCCGCACTGCTGGCCTGGACACCATGGAGTCCATTCTGGAGCTCACTGCTGAGTAAGTGCAGCCAGGCTCCCACAGGGCACCTCAGGCTGTGCTACAAGTTGCTGTGCTCATCCCTGTGCGATCTCAACAGGCACTTAGATTTTGGAAGGCTTCTCTCCTTCCTTCCCCATGCAGTTAAATGGAAGTGGACTGGCTTTTTGACCTAAAAGGGAAGAATCAGCCCAGAACTCAGAGCAGCTCAAACTGTAAGCCAAATTCCCTAATTACTCGTGTCCATGCCTGAGGCTCTTCAGGGGTCTTCAGCTGCTCTGAACTTACATGAGACGCAAACAGCAAGGGAAAAGAATAGATGGCAAACAGATCTCTAACCTGACCATCTCCCCACTCTTGTAGGATAATTTTCTTGCCATGAACTCCATATAGACTAGTGATATCCCCCCCACTCAATCAGCCAGGCACTGTTGTTTCATAGAGTAAGTCTTTCTGGGCTCCTCAGGATTCAGAACACAGCTGTGTTATTTTGTCTGGGATGTTCAGCCAACTCCAACCAGGTAAGTTACATGAAACAAATGAGCAGGTACAGACCTGCCAAAGGGTTGAGACATGGCCCCTATCATAAAGCTTATTTTATCACAAGTCCTGATTTACTGGGAGCACAGGCCTAGCCACGAGGTGGAAGAGGTCAGTTGATTGGGTGGGCAGAAGTAGTCAGGGGAGGGCAGGAATATCCAGAAGTTTCTTCCCTCCAGAGAAAAGGTAGGTGCACTAGGAGGCACTGAGGAAAAAAGCTTTCTCAACTTATGCTTGGTAACTGTTTCTGCCCTTACCCATATCCTTGTCCCTAATGAACAAGAATAGCAATTAATTTTTCCTTTCTTTTCCCATTTCCTTCAGGGACTTGAAACAGATGGGAGTGTCACTTCCAGGCCACCAGAAGAGGATCTTGTGCAGCATCCAAGGCTTTAAGGAATGATCAGTCATTGCATTCTTAAGCTTGAAAAATGCCCATCCTTACCAGATATCACTTGGAATCATTCCTATGGCAATTGCTTCCAAATGAGTGACTGGACAAGCAAAGCAAAACAAGCAGAACTGAAAAAGCTCATGAGGCAACACCACCTGCTCTCATTTCTGTTCCCCCTTGCTTTAGCTCTACAGCAGCCATCAACGTTTCAGAGCACTGGTCTTAGAAAATATTCTGTTTTCTGCAGTCTACTTTGTGCAGCACTAAGTAGGCCCCGTAGTCTTCATACTGGACTTTCAGACCCTCAGTATATCACATGGAATACGAAGTGGGTGGAAAATGGTGGATAATGTTTTAAGATTGGAGATGAGGGTTCAAGATAGACTGGCATACATTCCTTCTCACTTCAGCACCCTTCTATCTTTCTTATTTTGCATCAGGAACAAACTATTCAGTCTTCACAAGGCTGCTGGTAATGCATATATTTTTTAACTCAGCTATTCTTGCCACGAACACCACCCTGTGGTGTACCTCTTTGGAGGAGAAACTGGGAGTAGAAGCACACCCCGCTGTAACTTGTGCGATCACATCACCTTAGTGTGTTGCTGTTTTGCACATGCACACTTCAGTGGGGAGATTTACATCTCTCCAAACTGCTTAATACCTTTTCTTATGCTGTGGACAGAAAACCCTATATGTATCCATTTTTCTCTGCCCCTTTTTAAAAGAGACAATAGTCCTGTTTGGCTGGAATAGGGTATTTGTAACAGAAAAATGTGTAGGTGGTCTGTCTTATTCCTTCTCTGTGGAGGAAATGTTATTATTTATCAGATCTTAAGACAGTTATAGTCTGTAAATAATATTTTGTAAATAAACCTGTGGCAGAGCAGGCTGTGTTGGAATTCTTTGGCTTATTTCAAATGTGAGTAAGACCTTCAGCATATGTAAGTCCCAGCAGGGTCCTTACATCCATCTTCAGTTGTTTCAGACAATGGTCTTTGCCCATTTAACTGCAGATGTGACATGGAAGTGCAATTGCATTAGGATTAAAGGATACCTTTGCAGCTGATCACTTCAGATTTTTTTTCAACCGATTTACAGGCATATCTATCTAACGTCCAAGTCCATTGTTTTACAGATCCTGTGATTATTCCTAAATCATAAATATTAGCAACTACTGTTGTGTTTGATTAAATACATTTCTCCTGCAAACTAGACTGTCCAGGAGTCTTAGGAACATCAGTGAGAATTTTTCATTCTCCCACTGGGGAAGAGTAGCTACCTCAAGATTTATTTTTCAAGTCAAAGTTGGTGAAGTTGAGTGCTACACATTCAGCAATGTGACTTGCTAGAGATAACAGTGATTCCATAACTATATAATGCTCTAAGTTCTTAAGACTGTAAATTAACACTGCTACTTTTGGGAAGGCCTTGCCTAACCATAGATGACAGAAGAGCTGAGAAGCAGAGATCCAAAGAACTGCAACCTGATGCAAGAAAGCTGGTTTCTATTCAACACAGACCGTGGCTACTCAAGTCACTGCAACTATAGCAAGAGAGAGAGCTGAAAAGAAAAGCTCTGAGTTTTTAGTGTATCAGTGTTAGCAATAGATATTTTTAACATGAAGTACGGGTAACCAGTAAAGTTTCTACCTGGCAGACACCCTAGCAGATAAACCCTGATGAGGCTGACACAAGATTATGAGCTTGTGTCACACACATGTAAACTTTGGCCTGGCACTGCAGGCGATAGAGAAGTGGGAGTGCTTATTACATCGGATACTTGTGCTGCCACACAGAGGGACCTTAATAGGAGGCAGAAATGAGAAGAGATTTAGGAAGTTGAAGCAAGGGAAAGGCAGAGCCTCACAACTGGGGAGGAATAGTCTCACGCACCAGTACAAGCTGGGGACTGGAAGGCAGCTTTGCTAGAAAGGAGTTCCTGGTCATTGTGAACAGAAAAAGTTGCACCTGTGCCCTTTAGCAAAAGAAGACAACAGTACCTGGGCTGCATTTCAGCAAAAACATCACCAGTAACTGGAAGGAGACAATTATTCCTCTTTATTTAAGCATTGGTGAGACATCTGAAGTATTGTGTCCAATTTTGGGGTTCCCAATACAAAAAAGAGTATAAACTTAATGGAGCTAGTCCAGTGAAAGACCAGTGTGGTTTTAAAGGGATTAGAGCATCTGACATACAGGGAGAGGTTGAGAGAGGTGGAAGCTGTTCAGCCTCAAGAGGAGAATGTTTGGGTGGCTTTTATCATTGTGTATAAATACCTGACAGGAGTAAAAAAGGAGCCAGACATTCCTCAGTGAAAGAAGCAGCTGTGAGAACACACCAAAATGCAGTACATTCCATTTGAAGGTGAGAAAAACTTACAGTCAGAGTTGTTAACACTGGAACAGATTATCCAGGTCTCATCCTTTAAGGTATTAAAAATCAACCTGCTCTGGTTGACCCTGCTCTAAGCAGGGAGGTCCCCTCCAAGTTCAAGTGTTAGGAGCTGCTGAATCAGCTGGCCTGGTAGAGAAAAGGCTATTCAGTTCCATGTCCTCAGGGTACAGCCAGTAGCAAGCCTGAGCATGTATTCCCAATAGGCACTCCCCCGCAGAAAATCCCCAAGTCTGTAATGTGTGCATGTCTATAAACACACACACTGTACATGACTGGCCGGAGGCAGAGAGCAGAGCAGACATGCAAGCACAGCACAAACAGCCTAATCCTCTTCCCAGCTCTGGCTGATCAGGATGAACCTGTTACAGGGAAACACATACATGTACACGATGGATCCCTCTAGTGCCCGAGATGAGCCATCCAGCAGCTGGCTCCAAGCCCTGAAGCCAGAGCTGCTCTCCTCAGTTGCTGGCTCAGGATACACAAATCCTCAAGGCCTGCAGCCCTGCTGCAGTAGTGGGCGTGCAGACAGGCACACACACACCCTGGAGCTCTTCAGAAGTCAGCCTCAGACATTGGCTCTACCCAGCACCTGGCTCCAGGGCTCCCTGGTCTCCCAGTGTCCTCGCACACAGATGCAAACTCTTCTCTTTCAGCCTGGTCTCCAGGCCCAGGAGTAGCTCCTGGGAGCTTGAGCAGCTCACTCCCACATGCCTTCATAGAATTTAGCCAGACCCACAGCCATGCCACATCCTGGCTCTCAAAATCTCTTACCTTACTCACCAGCTACTCTGACTTGATGTTGCTGGCAATATCACAAGGACATAGGCACCCACACAATATGCATGCACTCAGGTCTGTCCAGTTGCTGGCATTCAGATCCACTTGCACTGAACAGATCGCATGCAGAGAACAACAAAAAGCTACTATGAAGGCAGAACAGATTACACTGATGACACACAGGGCATGACCAGACAAGTGTACTGTGTACGTGCAGCTACCTCCTTCTGTGCCCTCTTCCTGTCAGTTTTTCCCCATGGCACTTCCCATCCTTGATCACTCCCGTTTCCTGTGTTTCATCTCCCCCTTACACATCCCATTTCCCTCAGAGGGGAAACCCCCCTTTAATCCACAAGGTAATCCCTTCCCATTGACTCCACTGGATAGGTCTCCTACCCAAGGCTACACCAAGGCTATGGTGCTCTGACAACTCCGGGAAGAGCAGAATTAGTGCTTCTCTATCCCAGCGTTGTTCTTTCCTGCATTCCTTGGTGTTTGTGGGCACAAGCTTTTAATAACATGGTCTAGAAACAACTTCTCACAGCAATGCTTACAAACTAGCAATAAACTACAGTAAGAAAAATAAATGGATGATTTATTCTCTACTCAATCTGTAGAAAACCTTAAGACATTTACTGGATCAATTTGCAAGGAATCATTAAAGATTTTCCCGAAACTGGCAAGAGATCAAGAGTAGGTTTCAGGTCTCTGAAGTGTATGAACATTAGTGCTTACCACAAAGAGGAGTTTCACCTGCAGTGACTGTCACAGTACTGTAAACATCAAGCACAAACACTTTCACCGAAGCAATAGTTAGGGGTAAAGCAAAGTGTGCACTTTTATTACAACCCACTTCCATCTCGCTGGAATACCCATCTCTGAGTGACATGTAAAGCAGACTACAATATTGCTGTACTGAAGTGCAATCTTGCACTGTTTTAAATGAGAGCTACTCTTCAAGCACAAAAAAATAGAAGTCTGGAGACCAAGAGGTGAAGAGAGAAAAGCCATGTTCAGACTCCTGATCTCTGGAGGCTGGGTGGAATAGCGTTATATACATTTGGCAATATATACAAAAGCTGTTCAATGGCAGTTCTACTGCCAAAAACAGCAACTCTCAAGGTGGCTGAACAAACACAGCAGATACAATTTAATGGAAAAACCACACATTTTATTGAATGCAAACAGTAGTTGGACAGTGCTGTTATTCAAAATGTTTGTTCAGTTTGAAAGTTTCTAGTCCAGGAAATGGGGCTCGGTGCAGTTAACACGCACAGCCAGACAGTACATTGCAATTGCAAACTACACTGCAGCTTTCACTGACAGCAGTGAAAGAAACCCTACTGGAACAGGAGACATTTCTCAGTCTGCTGAATCCTCATCCACACACTGAGACGCCTCCTCACCATGTGCTGCCTGTCCTTATGACGGTCTTTATTTTTAAACATGTATTCTTTGGACTGCTTTGCTACTCTGGCTCCCAGCCTGGCTGTCCAGAAACCGCACTGGGAAGCGATTCATTTTGGGAAGGGGAAGAAGATTTTTTTTTTTTTTTTTTAAAGTTTCCAGACTCAGAGTAGTATTTCAAACACTGCCAGTTTAATCTGGCTAAGGAAAAAAAAAAAGACAAGACAGCTAATCAGTAAAACCCATTAGAGACAGAAAAGCTACAGCAGGTTAGCTTTTTCCAGCAACAGTAACAGATTCCCACTACTTTATGCCTCCACACTCTAACCCAGGTGAGTGAGCAGGCAGAGGAAGACATCCTAATAATGAGGTGTCACAAGACACAAAACAAAAGACAAGTGGTGCCAAGATGCAGGCTTCCACCTTCAAGTCAAATCATCGTTCTTGGCTCCACGGAACTGAAGAATGCTCTCAGCCCTTCCCAGCACCTGCCACCAGGCCCTTCTTGCTTCTTCCACCAGGCGGTGGTGGAGGTCTGATCTTTCTCCTCCAGAGTCTTGAGGGAACAGCAATTGTGCACTCACCTTGATCACAGCCCCCAGCCTGGAATCCACTGTGGCCAGGAAGCGGTGGTAGGAGAAGAGGTCCTTTCTTGGTGGGTGTGCAGAGTGAAGTCTAGGAGCAGTGAATCCTACATGAGTGAAAAATTGCTGGCATAGTCTCCGTTGGTAGCAGTCTGCCTTGTCAGGCAGAGGGGTAGGACAATCGCAGGGAGGGGAGAAGTACTGAGTGCAGGAATCTTAAGGGAATGCCCCCTCCAAGCTCCTCAGCGCGCTGTTTTTGCACGGATGGTGTGACACTTGATACACAGCACGTGCCCATCCAGAGGAAAGCACCCGTTCTCATCTGCTTCAATGGACAAGGGCTTCCCACAATCCTGAACAGGAAGAGGGAGCTCAGTGATGGCCAAGAACAGGGTGAAGGAATTCAAGGACATAAGAAATGTCCCCACAGGGTCAGGACAATCACTCCCAGCCCACTGCTCTGTCCCTGGTGGTGCTAGTGGGAGATGCTGCTTTGAGGGGAGAGAAATCCCAGCAAGTTCCCCTCCTACAAACAGCTGATGTATTGGGGTGTTAGAGAATGCAACAACCCTGCATAGTCCCCGAGTTCATGCCTGTGAATGTCTAATCTTTTTCTGAACACTCTTCAAAAACATTCCAGATTCATTCAAAACAACTTCAGTGTTTGGTCAGCCTAGACAACAAAGGTGATGGGCATGGGAGACATGGGAGGAGTGGGGCCATCAGGCTTACCTCACACTTGTAACATTTCATGTGGAAGTTTTTCTCCAGTGCAACAACACGCACTGTCTCATCCTTTCCAGGCTCTGGCATGATAGGTTCACTACAGACTGAGCAGCGTGGAGCATACTTCCTGCAACACAGAACCATGGAGAAGACCATGACCACCATTGTGACATTCAAGGCAGGCTTCTCAGTGACGTTCAATGGCATTAGCAGCAGAGGATTAGTAAATGTTTAGGTGGAAAGACATCTTCATACTTTGCTGACTCATTTTTAACTTCATGTCTGACAGATGACATGGGCAACCCAACCTCATAATGCAGCAAAAACAAGCAGGTGTGAGGGAATCTGCCCTCTCTCATACAGCACATGCACGTGGCTCTCTCCATACCTGTGGTAGTCATCCACACAGTGAGGCTGGTTGGACTGGTCGACAATAAAAGAGGTCCCCTCCAGAGGGGTATGGCACGTCACGCAGGTGAAGCACTGGGGATGGTATGAGTTACCAGTGGCCTTCAGCATCCGGTCTGTGATGGTCTGCTTGCAGACACTGCACTTTTCCAAGGTGCTCTGAGCCCAAAGAAAACAAATAAGATACCTTAATCCAATCTCCCACCCCTGTGAGGCTACACCACAGAAAGCAAAGATGGAGGGAGAAAGGGAAAGCAAGAGAGAACAACCACAGCGAGCTCAGTTCTCTCCAGCAGCTTTCACCCCAGTGACTCACAGCATAGCAGTCCTCGCAGAAGGGCTTCTCATCCACATTGTAGAACTGCTGCCCCTGCAGCTGCTTCTCACATTTGAAGCAGGTGAAGCATTCCACGTGGAAGAGGCGGTCCAGGGCCCTCACAGCTGGCTGGGTTCGTGACAGGGGCTTCCGGCAGAAGCCACAGAGCTCTGTCAATGGAAGAGGAAAGGGATCAGGAGAGATGAAAACCCATCACAGTCTTGATCCTACTGCTGTCCATTGAAGGCACGCACCAGAAGTTGCAGCCTCTGCTGGGTGTGGATGCTCCATATCCTTCATTAGTTTCTGGGTCAACTTCTCCAGCTCTTCCACCTCCTTCATTGTCAGACAGGAATTCCCCCTAGGTGGATCTGTGCTGGAACCTGTGGGTCTATGCTGCAGGAAGAGGAAACATTAAACCTCAAAGACAGACTCCCTCCCACCTTGTCCCTAATTAACCTATTTCCCTAGCCTTTACAGGTCCTCTCTGTTCATCTCTAGGAGCAATCTGCCATCCACTGTGCTTGATTCTTCCCATCTTCCCATGAAGTCCTACTCCTCTGCACTACAATCTCTATAGTTACATCTCTCTTTCAGATGGGTAACAGCCTCCCACAGCCTGGGGCAGATCCACCCTCATCCTCTCAATTTCACTCCCACTGTGCCTGTCCAAAGATACCAGTCCCAGGGCTCTTTCCCTCACCGTGTCTCTTGCAGCAGCAGGTTGTTCTGTTGGGCGTGGCTTCTCCTGCACTCGGGGTTTTTCCCTCTGCTGGGCATAGGTGAAATTGGGGGGCTGTGGTCGAGAGGAGAGGCCTGAAGATGAAGGGGCTGTGAACTGAGTCTGAAGGGAGGCAGGGTATCTTGTAGAATTTGAGGAAGCCATTGGAACATTGTCACCTGATTTGGACACAGACTTAGGAGAGCCAGCAACAGGAGATGGGGTGAATTTAGGCTGAGCAGAAGGGAGAGAGGGGGGTGGAGGGACTGGTGCTTGGGGCTCCTTGCATTGCTGTGGGGCTGCCCATGGGGTTGGGGTCAGGTTCAAATCCACTCCAGGGGGCTTGAAAGATGAGCTTCCACTTGGCTTTGGTGTGAACTTAGAAGGAAAGGAATGAGGAGTATCTTTGGGTGCAGATGGTATTTCCACAGGGGCTTTTGGGGCCAATGGTTTCTCCAGAGAACCTGTGGATCCTGGAGTTATCTGTAAAGAGAAGCGGCAGAGAGAAAACAGGCAGGTATCAGCACAGTGGAAGAGAAAACACGCCATCTATAGCAGTGCATCAGCCAGCAGCTACCCCAGACCCAGAACATGAGGGGTTTCCACACTTGTGACATGTTTAGCAGTACTGACAAGTTGCAAGAGCCATGTTTTCCAGTCCTTCACCAACATATCTGTGCTATAGTTTATCCACATACTTTAATCTTCAGTAGCACCTTTCTCACTACCTCTGTTCAGCAAACGAGTCACCTCTTCTTCCACCTGCAACACTCTGGACAGCTCACCCGGGATTTGAAGGGGTCATTCTTCTCCATGTCATCCAACATTACAGACAGTGAGTCAATCTCAAGATCAGTGTTGTTCATCTTGCCACGTACCTACACAGCCATCCATAAGGAAAAAGGGAGCAGAGCATGTTACAGGACCAGCCACAGAAATGGGTGTATCATTCTCTTACAATAGCATATTTTGATACTTTGGACTGTGGTACAGATCTGCTCTTTGAATGGATGAAAAGCTGGTGAGGATGAAGAGGACACAGTCTCCAAGGTCTATAAACAGTGGGAAAATGCACAGCCCAAGGAAGCTCTCAGACAGATTTAGGTGGGAAAAGACATCTGGACGTCTGTAGTCCAACACTCTGCTCACAGCAGGGCTAATTCCCAAACAACACGAGGCTGCTCAAGGCCTCATGCAGATGATTTCACAACATTCCCGATCATGCAGGTTCCCCAGTCTTTCTAGGCACACGTGCCAGCAGCGAGCCACTCCTGGAGTGGAAGAGAGTTTTCTTCTGTCCAAGAGGAATTTCCCTTGCCACAACTTCTGTCCATTGTCTCTTGTTGTGCCCTGGTAAGAAGAATCTGTCTTCTCTCCAGCCCTCCTTTAAGTATTGCAGACTCCGGTCAGACCTCTGCCTTGGCAGCCTCTTCTGCTCCAACCCCCAAAGGCTGCTGTGACCTTTCACTAGATTACATCTCATTCAGTGTTCCAGAGCGGTTATTATACTGAAGAGCCCAAATGGATGCAGTCCTCCAAGATGCAGCCTCACTAGCACAGAACGGAGGAGTATCCACAGTCCTCGTCCTTCTCTCCCAGGTGCAGCCCAGCGTGTGGCTGGCCTTTACTGCCACAAGGGAGCATTGCTGGCTCACATTCAACTTTTGTCCACCAGGAACCCCGGGTCCTTCCCCACAGAACTACAGCCCAGCCAGCTGACCCTAACCTCTGCTGGTCCACAGGCTGGTAGCATTTCCTGCTTTCCCAGGTTCTCAGGGCTTCCTGCTTCTGAAGCAGGAGCTCTGCTCTGACAGTAGCGAGCTGCTGTCCTAAGTCACAGAGCATCACACACAAACCACACTTCCTCGGACCTCACTCACCTGTGGGGCAGGAACCTTGCTCACAGGTCCTTCATCAAACATTGGTGGAGGAGGAGGTGGTGGAGAAGGAGGAGAAGGAAAAGCTTCATCTGGGGCTGGTGGAAAAGGTTCTTCAAAGGGTGGTGGGGGTGGTGGAAATGCACAGTTTGAGGAGAAGCTTGCATCCTCTTCAGGTGGAGGAGGAGGTGGCAGCAGCAGGTCTATGGGGAAGAATGAGAATAAAAGTGACTTCAGATCATTTCTTACTCCTAGCCAGGAGGGGTCTTGAAGGTATTGCAGCAAGCAGGATCATAGAATCACAGAGTGGTTTGGGATGGAAGAGACCTTAAAGAATACCTAGTTTGAACTTCATTGCTATGGGCAAGGATGCCACTCACTAGATCAGGATGCTCAGGGCCCCACCCAGTGTGAGCTTGAACACTTACAGAAATGTGGCACCCACCTCTCTGGGTAACCTGCTCCAGTGCCTCACCACCCTCTGAGTGAAGAATTTCTTCCTGACATCTAATCTAAACCAGCCCTCTTTCAGTTTAAAACCCTTGTCCTTTTACTATCTGTACACATAAAATCTGTATCTCCTTCTTTTTTATAACCCCCTTAAGATAGCTCTAGGGAGAGCTCATTGTGTCCTTCTACTTTCTCTTCTCTAGGCTGACAAACCTCAGCTCTCTTCCTAAAAGAGGTGCTCCCACCCTTGCAGCAGCTTTGTGGTCTCTGGATTCACTCCAACAAGTCCACATCTTGCTTGTGCTGAGGACCCCAGAGCCCGATGCAGCATTCCACGTGGGGTCTCACAAGAGTGGAGCAGAGAGGCAGAATCCCTCCCCCATCTGTTGGTCACACCCCTTTCCGATGCAGCTCAAGATTCCATCAGCCTTCTGGGCAGTGAGTGCACACTGGTTTCCCTGTGCTCACGAGATCTCAGCACCCATCAAGGACAACTGAACTCCACAGGCTGTTTTTCACCTTGTCCAATGCTTTTCATAATAATTTAATCTTTCCTCAGTAGTTGCTGCTATTAGTCACTGGGCAGAGTTCTTGTATACGTGGGAAATATATCTCACTATGGTCTTTGTCTCATTCTTTCCTCATTTGTCTCATTTGCTCCTTGTCTCATTCCTTGGTCCCCAGCACACCCTTTTCTTCCCAGTAACTGGCTCAGATTACTGAACACAGGGCAGCATACATGGAATGCCAGTGGACAACTCAGGACCCTGGAGAGCCTGTGTTTTCACACAAAAATAAGCTAGCATGTCAAAGCAGCATAGTAAGCACTACAAGAAACAAGTGGGGAAAAAAAAAAGCAAACTGGACCAATTACCCCTTATGTGTATTAAGAGTCTTTGAAATATGTTTGTTTTTCTGGGGGATAAAACCAGCTTTAATTTTTGAGGCTAGTATGGCTTCACACCCAATATACATTATGGCATAAGAAATTTTCCAAAACTATTTTAAGCAGTCTGAAAAGCACTAGAGCACCTCAGTTTTCTAGAAAACCTCATTGCTTCCACCTATTCATATTTGCCAAAGATGCCCAACAGGCAAAACCAACCATTTTCTACTACAACATGGACAAATAAATGGGAATCCTCTTCCCTTCACCACGTAGGGAAGAAAGCGTCCTCGTATCAACCACACAGCAAAGAACATCTAAGATGAGGAGGTGTAATTTCCACATGCCTTCTTCCAGACCCACCTCTCTTCCTACTGCTAGCCCCAGCCAGCAGTAGGGTGAAAGACCAAACTTTTCACTCCAGCTACTCCAAGTGCAACTTTTGACAGCAGTCATCAAATTGTCTCATCTTTACATCCAGCTGTTGTCAACATGCTTTATAAGGACTTCTCATCTGTAACCTAATGGAGACAATACTGCCCTTTTAAAAATGAAAGCCAAAATTTTATTAGCCTGTGGAATGCATAAACTGCCCTGGTATGCAACACCTCTTCCAAGCAAGCCTTCTTGTGCTGTAGAAATTCTGCTGGGGGGAGAGAGTAATACTATGTTTTGGTTTTTTTTCTTTGAAATTACAACTTGGGCTCAAGCTTGTACATGCTTGCCTTTTGGTTTACCAAAACCATAAGAAACAAAACCCTGATCTGTTGTCACATTGTTTCAGATGCACTAAGAACCTGTTTTATGAATTATTCACAGGACAAGAAAGTTCCCCATAAAGTTGTTATACCAGATTTACAGAACAATCAATACTAAATATAACATTTCTACAGCAACACTAACTTAGCCACCCTGTCATTTAAGACAAAGAGTCCAACTGCAACAGCTCTGTATCATACTACATTTTGTTTGGGGAGTATATAAGAAAGGCACAGAAGGACTGAAGATATGCACAAGAGGAGGATCAAATCAGATGCATTTCTCTCATGACTGAGTTTTGGTGGCTCATCTGTACTTCACCTGTCTTGCTGGCAGCCCTTACCCAATGATGACACAGCAGCTTATGACAAATGGCTCTTCTGCTAGTTTTTCTGTCTAGTTACTCCATAATGCCCACTTTAACGATAGGAGAAGCAGAGCAAGCAACACCTAACGCTCCACTCATACTGTATATTGAAAAATAATTTTTAACATCTGTCTACTTCAGGTAGTATTTGCATCACTTTGAGACCTTTTGACAGACACATCCCTAATCCAGACAAGTTTTTCCAGCAGAAAATGACAAGTCCTAAGACAGGACCTTGGTTTCTACAGACACAACATTCCAGCCAACAACATACAAGAAATAGGTCATTACACTTAGCTGGTACAATTTTAGGACGCAGAAGCACCAGCATGTCCTTGTGACTTCAGAAATGGGAAAAATGGCTTAATCATTTTTCTCCTCTACGCACAGGACCAGTCTTCCTACCATCAGCTCAGCTGCCCACCAACTTAGCACACTAACCTGGAAAGTATCAGTGTTGCAAGTCTCTGCTAAACAGTGAAAGAAATTAAATTTCTGAGGAAAAAAAAAAACAGTAGCTACCATTCTCTGAACACATGGGTCCTGATCGAGGCACACCCTTTACTTGACAGATCCTTGGGGAAATAGGCAGTATCAAGCATTAGCAAAGGGTCCCTACAGAAATTTCTGGTGGCCCCATGCTGATCATGAGTTCAAACTACAGAGTCACACAACCAGTAACCTGCATCTTAAAAGGACACAAAACCAACCAAGCAACAAAACACAGAAGAAAAAAATAAATTCTACCACTGCAGGAAACAAAAAAAGGCCACACAAAAAAAGAAAGAAGTAAGAAAACCACAAAACAAGAAGTCGCTCTACACAGGAAAACCCAACCCAAACCACTAGGAAAAAGTACCAACTGTACAAGCCATACAAACTAAACTCTAAGTCTCATTTCCCGTTTATCATCACTGCCACTATTTTTTCATGCAATTATTTCTGCCTTCTCTTTTCCAGCATCAAAGGTGGCAACTGCCGAGTCCACAAGTACAGTCAGAGATAACCAGCTTGAGCTGGGATCAATCAAGAAGGAGAACAGTGTGATTCATCACGACCAGGGTCAACTTCTCTGCAACATACTTGCTCTCTGACACGCTGGCCAGAAACCGACTGCAATTACAACTGTGCACCCAGGGAATATTGTGAAAAATCCACTGCATTCCTCCAGCATCAGTGCAGTGCAGGACAGGACAGCCTCCCCTGCTCCTTTCCTAATGGAGACACTATGTACTTTGAGATCTCTTTCCAATCCATTTATCTTGTTATGGAACCTACTAGCCTCTACAGCAAGAATATCCATCACTTATAGCAGTTATGCCCCTGTTCTCATATTCAATCCAGCTACAAACCTCCCACCCTGAGAATTCAGAAACGCATATTCACATCTGCCATGCCAGCCTTGACCTACCTTCTGCCAGCAGGGACACGGGTGGTAATGGAATATCCCCCACCTTCCCTATCTGAGCACGCTGGGCACCAGGACCAGCAGGTGGAAGCAGCGATGACTCTGATGCACCCCCGGCCTTGAAGGGGTTCACCTTGGGCTTAGGAGCAACCACAGGTGCAAACTTCTTCTGTGGGTTGTAGAAGGAAGGGGTAGAAATGTTGATGCTGACTGTGGATGTCATGCGGGTCCCTGGGGCACCTGGGGAGGCCATCTTCTCAGCACCTAGCCGGAGAGAAGAGGGAGGAAACCTACATGAAGTCATCCTTGGGCCAGAGTGGAAATTAATGGAGAAGAGTAAGTGAAACGAAGGGATAGAGGAATTTAACTCAGGCCAGAGGCTGAGGTGCCTGAGCAGTGCACTTACAAGACCAGGACAGAAAAAAAATAACAGAAACTGCAGAGCTCTCGAATGAGCCATCACACTTCACCATTTCAACTCAGAATAGCATTAACCACAAATGGGTCCTCGCAACAGAGAAAATCCAATTTCCACTGCACTACAGCCCTGCACCCGTGGTGACCAGAAGGAAGGTGATCCCCCGCACGCCAAAGGATTCCCCCAGAAGTGGAATCAGCATTTCCTCTCCCCCTTCACCCGATAACGCCAGCCGGTTCCTCTCGAGTTCAGCCAGTGGCAGCGCCAGCAATGTCCCGTCTCCCCCGGCACCCCCCACCCTTTACCTCTAGGCCCCTCCATGCCGCCGGAGCCCGCACGGCCGGGCGGGAGAGGGTCTCCCGGAGGTGGGCGATGCCAGCCCGTGTCTCCTGCCCGCTCCGCTTCCGCCAGGAAGCGCTCCCCGGATGCCGCCGCCCCCCGCCCGCCGCGGGCAGCGCCTCGGCCGCCGGGCCCAGCCCCGGCCCGCATCCCGCCCCAGCCAACGCAGAGTGCCCGGCGGGCAGGCCGTGCTGGGAACCGCGGGTGTCCAGAGGAGAGGCGCATCCCTAGGACTGCCCCGGTGCTGTGATCCAGGCCGGCAAGCTCACCCGTGCTAGAAGCCTCCATGGAGCCAGACGCTTTGTTGTAAAGCCTGGCATGCCCACAGCCCTCCTAACACTCCAGCACAATAGGGATGCCGTCAGCACAGGGGCTCCGTGCCAGCTTTTCAAGTTGGCATGTCCGAATCAGCGCCCCTCCGCACTGCCGGCCTCTCGGCCTCTCCCACGGACAGTAACAGCTGCTGCCACAGCCAGCCCTGGTGCCACAAACATCCACTCACCCCGATAACCCCTGGCTGCTGGTAAGAACTGCATGCCCCTTCTAAGCGCTCCCACGGCTCAGTGCAGTGTGGCAAGATAAGGCAGCAACCTGTCCCAGCCTCCCCAGGCCACAAGTGTGTGGCAACACAGATAAAGTCCATGCTGCTGAACTTTTCCTTCCTTTTGTGCAGTGCCGGTAAGATGCATACACTTGGACAACTCTTCTGGGAGTTTCAAAAGGAGGATGAGGCCACAACAGTAAGCAGGAGCCAAAAAGCTGTGCTGAGCATTCCTCCTGGATTCAGAATGGGAAAGAGCCAAGGCAGAAGAGTAATTAGCAAGGTCTGTCCTCACTCCTCCAAACTTTTAGGGGTCAACAGGCTTGCCAGTAAGAAGGGGCTAACCAACTCCCTCCGTTCTGCAGTTCCCATCAAGCTTCAGAAGCTGTTAAAAACAGCTCCAGCCTTTCTTTAGAGACTTTTGCCTCCTTCTCCATTATTTCACTAGGGTATATTGAACCACTTGGCAGTAGTTCTACCAGATCTGACAGGATTATGAGCAGAACACTACAGTGACAATGTCACTTCTAATCACGAGGTTAGTCAACACACAGTCTGGGGACATCGGCTGTTTCTCAAAAAAAGCCAGTGGTTTTGCACCCAGCAGCTGCTGTCTCCCTAAACCCAAAGTAGCCCATTTCCCAGTACAGTATGTCGCACTTAGGGCACTTGCTGCTCAGGGCTGTCTCCACGCAGCAGCTGCCCCTGCTCATCCTCATTTCTGGTTATCAGTCCACCCACACACAGACCAAACCGGCTGAGAAAGCTTGGCCTTGCAGAGAGTCACCCCCTCAAGCCCTGGAGTGTTGCCAATGCCATCTAAGTCTTACCAGAAACACACAGCTCACACAGGTCCTGTGGCGCAGTTTGTGAGAGTTGTGGGAGAGAGTCACACCAACAGAACTAATCTCAAATCTTTCTCATCCTCACATTTACCCCGAGGGGAGAGATTTTTCTACCTGCTCTAACAGCATTTAGGATTACTCAAGTGGAGGTATGAAGAAAGATGCCCCCAAAGGCCACAGTCAGGATACCTGTGCTGCCTCACACACTGTTTCTTTCTGAGAGCAGGAAGAAGTAGGAAGACAGAACCAAGGGACACCTCCTTTAGCAAGAGGATCAATTCCCAGGTCTCACAGTAGGTCTGCCACCTGTTATACATCCAGACAGCTTTCACTTCTTTGATGCCATGACACCACTCTCAACAGCTCTGCTCCTTTCCTGCGGTAGCAAAAGCAGGAGGAACCTGAAGGAGCAGAGAGCCATATGACATTTTTCACTTCTGTCTGTAAAAGCAGTTTGGCAGCAGCCATGCTGGGAGCCCCTATAGCTCCACACATCACATCGGTACTTCTCCATCAGCCAAGTTCCTCCCAACTGAGGAGAGTCAGAAGAGAACAAAAAAAAAAAAAAAACCAACCAAAACAAAAAAAAAAAAAAACACCCCACCAAAACAAAAAATCCCCACAAATAAACAAGAATATTAAGAACAGATTAAATGGATTCAGGAGTTATGCTGCTTTTCATCCAGAAAGTTCTCCCAGCCTGCCCCAAAGTTACAAAGCTTCAAAGAGAGCAAAGTCTATCAGCTATGCAAGCTGCAAGGTAAAGCCTCAGAGCAGCCGGGCTGGGGGAGGAGGTTATTCGCAGCTAGTAACTTCTCTCATGGATACTGGGTTTGCCTCCTCCCTATGCAAGGAAGGGAAGAAAAACCGGGGGGAAACTCCAAAAATCTATGCAAACATATTAAAAACATTTGGAAGTTCTACGACTTTGCAAGCACTTTCTCAGGGCGCTCCCAGGGAGGCAGAAACTCATAAATTAGGCAAATTTCATGCACAAAGGGCCCCAGATTCCTCTCTCCAGCACATCTGGAAAAAGGCTCGCGAGGTGTCTCGGTCATCCAAGCTCACACAAAAAAGAGCTTGTCCCGAGCAGAGCCCGGCAGCACCCCCTCCCTATCCCCCCGGGGCTGTGCGGGAGCGCCGAGTCCGCCTCCATTCCACCGGCAGAGAAGAAAACTCACCACACACAGACACACACAGACGAACCTGCTTTTTTTTTGTGGAGGGCCAAGCACCAGCCCCCCCTTCCCCCCCCCCACCGAACCAGCACCATGAGCGAAGGGCTGTGCTCGAGGCGCAGAGCCGTGCGGGAGGGAGCGGCAGGAAACCCGCACCCCTCCGCGCCACCCCCGGGACGAAGGACAAAGGCTTTGTCGCCAAGCCGAGCGAATAGACTCACCTCTGGGGGAATGGGAAGTGCCGTCCTGGGAGTAGGGCTGTCGGGGCCGGGCTGCTCGGCTGCCCCGGCCCGCCCGCCGAGAGCCGCAGCAGCGAGAGGCGGAGGAGCTGCCGAGCCCCGACACTTCCTCCCAACTCGCGAAAAAAGCCTCGCCCAGGCAAAGTTGTTTGACCATAAAAGGCGCGAGGCCGCGGCACAGCTGAGCTCACTCGCTGGGGAATGTGGCAATGAGGTAACGGGGGCCGGGGCTTGCCGGGGCAGCGGTCCCAGGCTCTGCCGGCGGGGAGGGGGCGAGCGCTCTGCCCGTCAGCGGCCGCCAAGCAGACGTGTCTGTCGGGCTGTCCCCCGCGCCCACCCTGGCCGGGCTCGCTGCCTGCCCCCCGCACGGAGAGCCCCGCTCCTCCCGCCTTGCTTAACCTCGGACCTGCCCCCAGCCCGCGATTTCACTTCCAGTCGCTGAGTTAGATTTTCGGAAGGAATGCGGCGGCTCTGGTGAGTCAGGGTCCCTGCTGGCCTGCTCCCCGCTCGAGCCAGCTGTGAGAGCATCTGACTCACGCTGCCCCGATCTGCCAGAAATTAAAGCAAACATCAGATGACTCCGCCGTGCAGAAAAGCGACTTGTTCTCCTTGTACTCGCTGCAAGGCAAACACTATTAGCTGGTTTATATCAAACACTATCCACATGAATTGCTTTGTTGGACCGCCAGTGCTGCACATCGGTTTTATTTTTATCCCAGTGCTCGCTTGGGGCTCAGCCCGCTGTCGAACAGGGGCAGCCTGACCCAGCCCAACAGAACGTAATTTTCAACCCCAGCCTTTGCTGCTTCTTGCTTCAGAGCCTCTCATGAGGGAGGAGCACCAATAAAGACATTTCCGGTGCTTTGTGCAATCATTGTATTTGACTTTGGGATCTGGCCTTAATATCGGGGTTAATACCCCTACTGCTGCAAGTTCCCTGGAGAATTACTGTATTTGGTAATGCTCAGGGGGCTTGAGGCTTGTCTGCTTCAAAGACTTACCTATCAACACAGGTATCTTTCAGTACTGATAATTTACTTGCAGGTTGAGTGAGTAAGCCACAAACCACACCAGGGACACTCCCAGTCTGCACCGCTGCAGAACTCTCATATAAAGAGAGCTATGCAAAGAGATTAGTCCAAGGTTTAAATCCAGTGTAAACAATTCTTTAATTTTACACATAAAGTTTGTACAAAGAGGTTGTATCTTTTATTTAACCAGGTAATACATTGGGAAAAAGTCTGTGTGAGGTTCTTCAGTGTTACATACCATTTGAAAATGCCACCCATAGCAACGCCCAGCACTGAGCATCTCACTCCTTACACAGCTGCAACCATTGAACCACTGATCTATAGTTCTGAATTTCTTAGAGATCTATAGATCTTCTGTGGGTGCTAAATAATCCTGTTTAGTGCTGCTTTTGTAGGCATGGCATCAGTTCTGTTATCTCCCATGAATAATGCACAAAGTAATTATGTAGGATAAAGAATGTATCTCTGTGATGGATCTTCTAGCACTGTCACTTTTCTACTGCAGGAAACCATCCCTCTTGTTCAGGTAAAGATGTCAGTGCAGAGCTAAAAAGAATTCACTGTGTAATTGTGAGCCAAATTCTGGAACATCACAACACACCCTACACAATGAGCCTGATGACGTCAGAGAACTCTGCCACTGTTCCCTGGGCTAGCTCTGACTTCAGAGAAAACAAAGAATGTCTCAGACTGAGATTTAAAAAGTGCTGAGTGAATATTAAAAAAAAAAATAAATCTATGCTTTTATACTTTCTGGTCACATCCCCATAAATCCAGATGCTTGCATGTTTGATTTTCTCACCAGTGTGTTGATGTTAAAAGCTCATGAAGGCAGATCAAGGAAAGTGGGAATAAGAAAAAGAAAAGCAGCCCTCTTAGACATTTTGTATGAACTCCTCACTATGAGGAAACAAATGCAAAACATGTGTTTTGCAGGTTGCATGTGTGAAAGCTAGAATTCTCAAATCAGAATACATCAGAATACACAGGGGGAAACGAATCTGATTTTGTGCTTGCCACAGAGTGAATTTAAAGTTCGTGCTTTTGTAATTGGAAATGAAGATTAACTAACTTCTCTGTTAGTTCTGATTCTTGTAGAAAGAAAATAACAATCTCCTTATGCTAAGAGTCTCCCTTCATGCAATTATTGGCTTGAAAGAGTAAGCATTTTTCTGTTGCAAATGAAAATTAGAGCCTTGAGAGGCACACAGTTGTAGTCACACTCATTAGCTGAAGCAAAATCTTAGTCCTGAAGAGGCATTTAGCTACCTGGGTACAGAGATGGATCAGCAGGTATATTTGGCTTGTGCCAGACCTTGTTATTTCTGGAATTAGCAGCCGTCCTCTGCATAAGTCACTTTGGCCTTTCCATGCCATGAATAAAAATGATCTGGTATTTTGGAGTGTGAATGCTACTGTCACCATGGGTGAAGTGACAGCCCACTACAAAACAGGTGCTGGAGGGACTTAAAACATGCAGTTCTAGCTGGGTGCTTCTTTTGAGGCAAGTGTCAGGAAGCCAGCCAGCCCTGCTACTGGCCCTACAGGCCATCAAATCAAAGCTTAGAAATGCTGAGAGTTCAAGGCAGTCATCTCAGGAAGACTAATTTTTAAATGGACACAGTTATCGAGAATCTTTGCTGGCAATTCAGTCATGTAACACAATGAGTAAATAAAGAATAAGACCACACAGAAGTGGTGTGGCAAATTCATGTACTGCACTGGCATGAGGTATGTGATTAGGTGGCTATAAAATGAAAATAAAAATAGACATAAGAAGAAAAAAATTAGTCCTTGAATACAAAATGAAGAATTATTTGTAAGAACACTATTGGGGAATTAAACTTATCGGCCAGAAAATATTTTTTGATAGGCAGGTATAGCTTATGTAGCTGCAGATGGTTAAATATTTGTTTAAGGTCAGAGGAAAGCAATCTGGAATCTGGACAGGGTGCTTTACTTCTGTTAAAAATGCAAAATGTCTGTGTAATTTCCATCCATATCAACAGATCAATTAGTGCCATTTTATCTCAGCGTGAGTTAGTTAACAGTTAGTGACACCATGCAGGAGCCCATGCTTTTCCTAAGCAACGAAAAGTTCTGACTCATATCTGTGTTGAATCTCTGATGCTTCTTTAATCACATAACTTCTGTTTAGTCTAACCACATTTTATTGATTAATGTTAAATTGCTACTTAATCAGCTTTCCCCATGCTGTATTAAATGCTATGTCTGGGCCAACTGGAAGGGTTGGGAATATATAATGGATATATATAATGCTTTGGTTTCCAGGCCAAGTAGTTGGGCCTGCACAGTCCAGGGCAGGGCCACCTGCAGCAAATTGCCTGCATCCACATGGGCCAACAGATGTTACAGCTGGGTGATCTTAGAGTTCTTTTCTGAGCTGAACAATTCTATGATTCTATGTAATTCACCCTGGTAGGAGGTCTCCTATGATCTGCTGTGCTCCCACAGCACAGCCTCCCCTGGTGTGCTCCTCGCTTCCTCCCTTGAGCCGAGTGTTCTCTGTGTGAAAGACAAAATCTGGCCCAGATTGTCCCCTGCCAGGCTGCTGCTCACACCCCTTGTGGAGGCCATGACGTGTGCAGAGTTGTCTTTTCTGACCAAACAGCAGTTTCAAGTTGGAGCACCTCAGTGCCATTTTGGGCTGCGTGTTGACAGCTGGGTGACACACACAGAGAGCTGTGCTGGGGACACCAGAGCCTCATGAGACAGCAATCCTTACAAGCCTCATCATCTCCCTGCCTCTCTGCAACTGGCACACAGTCAGGAATGCTATTTGCAAAGGTCATGAGTTCTGGAGACATCCCTGAATGACCAGTGACCCAGGACATACAGCTAGAGCGTCTCTGCTGGTTCTCTTCAGAACCGAGTCTGCTGTGCAAAGCACATGTCAGAAGTGTGTGTCCCCAAGAAAGGGAGTTGTTCAGCAGCTACAGAGAGCCTCTGTGATCTCTGAAAAGGGCCACCCTAGGTGCTCAAATCCCACTGTGAAGGTGCTGCATGGTACGCATGCACATATGTACATACTTCAAAAGGCATTCCACTCACCCACACAGTTAGATTGTCCTGACTAAAACACCAGAATAGGCCAAAAGCTGTAAATAGGAAAAAAAAAAAACCCTCAAACCCTTGCTGTGTCATGAAACACTTTTTTAGTGGGGTAAATTAGCCATATACACATGAGAGAGAGCAAAGTATCCCTGTAGCATGACCTTGGTCATGCTAGGATATGACTGGCCATGGGAGCAGCCAGGCAGCCAGGAGAATAGGGGACTGGGGTGATGTTTGTCCAGGGAAGAAGCTCCATTTCCAGAAAAGCTGGCAGGTCTTTCCTAGACAGGGGCTCAGGGGCAGGAGGGGCAGCTCCCAGATGAGTTACCACTTTTTCCTTATCTCCTTCCACCAAAATTTCCTGCTGCTTCTCAGCAGGCAGCGGCGTGCAATTCTGTGGCTCCTGGGGCTGGCTCACTGGCAGGCTTCCCCTCACACAGCCCTCCCACCTTCAGCTCGCTGCTGCTGGGCTCTGTGCCCAAAGAAAGAGATGCAAGTAGGTTGTCCCAGTGGATATCTCTTCCCTCAGGTGCTGCATGACCTGTTGTGCAGCTCTGGAAAGCTGTGAGATGGCTCCTGGTGCATGCCCATGTGTGTGGCTGAGTGTGGATGGCCGCCAGAGCCCATTCTGCTCAGAAAGCTGCCATTTCCACATTCCACGGCATCCCTGTAATTTCCTCAACTGTATGCCCCACCCCTTGCCACCAGCAAGACAAGCAGTGACATATTTGGCTGTTCTGTGGCAAATATTCCTTCTTGTCAGAACTGTCAAAGAAACACATCTGTCAGCCTGCTAATTAAAGAGTTCCTGTGTGTTTCTTTCCACCCAAGTACCATGCTCCCATGGTAGAAGTCTCCTAGCCATGCTCCTTCCTACAAATGAGTTTAATCAGATGTAGGTACTCCTGGGTGTTGCATCCTGGTGTGGATTTAGACAGAAAGTCCCAGGAGTAATTCCAGCGTGTGTCTGTGTCAGGGGGAGGGTGCTGTTTCATGGGAAAAGGGTTCCATCCTCCCTGTGATAAAAGCTGAGACACAAAAGCAGGTTCTCAACTCTCTTGATCTCATACTGAGCATCCTCCCATGTGGTGCAGTAGAAGTTCTGTTGTGGCTTCCCAGGGAAGCATCTGGTACAGCTGCTTAGTACTGGAGGGAGAGAGATGCCAAACCACAGTCCCAGTAACATTAACCTGGGACAGGATCCTGGTCACTCCAGTCCGTCCCAGTGCTACTATTTCCTTGCATAAGAACTGAGGTAGCCAAATAAGCAGGGACAGTCTCTCGAGACTGCTAACTGTGTCCTGTACTGTGCCTACAGAGATGTGCCATGCATATGCCAGGGCATGCTGGACTTGACAGCACATTAGGAATACACAAGCAGATTGCTCTGGTGAGGAAAAATTAATGTCCCTGCCTCCATTATCTACAGGGTGTGTATCCTGCAGCAAACCAGCCTCTCATAAAACCAAGTAATTATTTAACTCCAGGCTGGAGTCCTGGCAAAATCTAGTATGTACACAGTGTAGATGATCATGGAACCAAGGCCCTGGAGCAAAG